GAACAATTTTCGTCTCTCCCATGGACATAGGCGGTAAGGCCGAATCATGTAAATCCTTTGTATTCTTGGTGGTGCTTATTTCAGTTGCCTTTGCTTGGTTGCCTTGATATTTTTTGTTATTTCTAGCTTATTCTTGTTGTCATTTCGAGTTCTATTGAGGTAGTAATTGACTAATAGGAAATCTCTTCATGTAATAACCGACTATTAGGAATAGGATATTGATAGTAGTCGACTACTACTAAATCTCTTCATGAAGTAGTTAACTACTAGCAACAGGGTATTGTTTTTGGGACCAACACCCTAGGGCTTTTAATGGCTTCCCAAAGGTTAATACCCAAGGCAACACCTTATCTAGTTATTTCATATTTAGATGTTAGGTTAATCAGATTGGATAAGTTGTTATTTTATATAAATATGCAACATGATTATATATATGTTATATACAAATATATAAATTTTATTTCATGTTTATATACATTTATTAAACTCATATTAGGTAAAATTAATTAGTTTTTCAAAACTTTTTTAATTTATTGTTATTTAAAATACAACAAAGTGGATATAGATCATATCTGAATCTGGTATAGTGTGACATCTGATTTTGGATCCAAATATTTGATAATCAGATTAGATGTCGAATGCGGATGTAGCTGGATCTGGTTTGATTATAGCCCTTCCCATCCTTTTCTTTCATGGAGTGGCCAGTCATAATGAGTTTAATTAAAATAATTTTGAAGATTACTTCATGAGAGCAACATTCACACAATATCCTTTTTTTCTCCATTAAAGAATCACCACATATTAATTTCACATAAAAGAAAAAACTTCTTTTGTTAATCAATAATCACCATTTAAGAAATCACTTGTTTCTTTTGTAAATTTTAGATAAATTTGCAGACAAAGATTTTAGAGATGTTAAAATTTCAATTAAAGAACTTGTCTACACATTTTGCTTCTAATCATTGGAGGTATCATCACTAGAAACACTATGGCAATGCAACCCATGCTCGAATGAGAAGTAGATTCAATATAAAGTGAGATCATCTTCCCTAACCACTCATGATTTATCAACACTATGGCAATGCAACCCATGCTCGAATGAGAAGTCAGATTCCACTCTTTAATTTTTTCTATTTAGTCTTTGCTTTTTATTGTTTACTCTTTAAATTGTTAAATGTTCAAGTTTTTTATTTTATATTTGGAATTTTAAGGTTAACTCTTTTAATTTTGACACTTTTCATGTAATTTTTCTTTATTTTTTTAAATTTCAATTATTTTTTGGGATGACCCGAATTAACCCATGGGTCAACCCTAACCCGAACATTTAGAGGGTTAGGGTCTAGCATTTGACAACCCAACTCGAAGTTCAACCCGACTCAAAATCAACCTGAAGTACCTTGACCCAACCCAAACCCGACCCACCCAACCCAATTGCCAGTACCCACAACCGCTCCATTCTTTACTTTGCGTGAATGGCTTTTTTTTTTTTTTTTTTGAAGCCAGAGGCAAAAAAATTCTTTCAAAACAACAAGTTACATCTCATCCAGAAATATAGACCTGATGAAATCTGGAGGAGTCGACCAGGTCATAGCATTATTGTATCTGATAGTATGATTTGCTAGCCTGTGGGCTAAGCGATTACAAGATCGAGATGTATAAAAAAAACTGGTTGACACAAAGCTAGAAGCAAGATGCCTACATTCTAGAATAGTATAATGTAGTCTCCAGGGAGGGTCTGCACCCGAAGAGAGAATGTCGATGTTGTGTTTTGCATCACTTTCAATGATGAGAGCCACAAGGTCCATTGTAATGGCACACCTCAAACCTTCCAAAATTGTTAAGGCTTCAGCTTCTGCTGGGAAGAACAATGGAGGGGAGCAAATCTACCTAGTATGAAATAGCTATTGTGATATCTGATAACAATTCCAAAAGCCGAGCGAGAAGCACTCCACGCCCCATTTGTATTAATTTTAATGACTCCAGTAGAAGGCTTGATCCACCTCTGAACCGGCTGAGGATCCGTGCTGATTTGAGAGTGAACACTATTAGTGTTTGAATATGAAATAGTAGATCTGGAAAGTAAGGCACAATGAGCTTCAATGGCTGTAAGCTTTTGTAATGGATTAAAAGGGTGTTGCTCAAATATCGCTTTGTTTCTATGCTTCCAAATGAACCACATTACAATGACCCCTCGAGCAAACATTGGAAAGCAAGAATGTTGATTCCTTATTTTGTTAATATGTCTCCAATGTTGTAAACCAATAACGTAAATTATTGTTTTGAGTAATCTCAGTCCGGATACGCAAGGAGGCAAACCATATGGGCTGAACAGTTGGACATTGAAATAAGTGGTGATCCACAGACTCGTTTGAAACTCTACACAAGTAGTAAGTTGCTTCAATCTTAGTTGATCTTTTAGCCAACTTTGCATTAAGTGAAATAGCTCCCTTACAACATCTCCATAAGAACATCTTGACACGGGGAATTAAAGTTTTCATTTTCCACAAATCTTTCCAAATAAGATTTTCGCAAACCTAGGAAGCATGAGAAGATTTTGAAACATCTTGACACAACAGTTTATATCTAGAGTTACAAGAGAACCTTCTATGAGGAGTAAATGACCAAATCAGCTTGTCATTAGTTAAATGATTCACCTAAGGGATAACAATCTTTGTAATCTGGTTAATAATGTCCTCATCAAAGAGCATATGTAAGAGTTGGGTGTTCCACGTCCGTAAGTTTTGATTCATGAGCATGGCCACCTTGCTGCAAGCAAGATTCTGGTTATTTGGCTTTTCAATCAGTCCATTAGGAATGCACAAATCTTTGAAAATATCTACATCCCAACTGTTTGAGATTAACCATCTACAACCCTTAATGAGATCTTTCCGACAAGCTAATAAGATGGACCACAACAATGAGTGTGAACTTTTATGACTTTGTTTCCAGAAATTTGATGAGGTAAGATACTTTTCTTTAAGTATTTTAACCCATAAAGAATCAATTTCTATGAGAAAATGCCAAGCCAACTTTAAGTAAGAGAGCTCTGTTCATCAAACTTGGGTCTCTAAAGCCAAGACCCCCTTTCTCCAAAGGGTGTAAAAATAGCTTCCATGCTTTTAGGTAGATGGGTCTTTCTTTTGATGCCTTCCCCCACAAAAAATCACGATAAATTGATCTTAGCTCCTTGCAAATGGAGGATGGAAGAGCATAGGTTGCCATATGGTAAAGGGGGAGGGAAGCTAGAGTAGATTTAATGAGAGCAGACCTACCTGCATGAGAGAGGATTCCTGATTTCCATTTCGTAAGTTTTGACCTTGCTTTATCTACAATAAATCTCTAGCTTGAGTGCTTCTTTGAGGTATTGAGAAGTGGCCCACCCAGGTACATATCCTCCAACTTCATCTCTTTTATTCCCAATATATCCATGATTTCATATCTTGATGAAAGAGGTGTGCATTTACTAAAGGAGATTGAAGATTTATCATAGTTCACCACTTGGCCCGAACAAGTACAGAATAGATCCAGTAATAGTTTCAGCTTTTGAGCCTCCGAAGTGGTTGCTTCACCAAAAATCAATAAATCGTCCGCAAAAAGAAGATGATTTAGCTTTAAATTTGATCTTCTAAATTTAAAACCTTTGAGTTCACTAGCACTAAAGAGCATCAGAGAGCATTCTGGATAGCAATTCCAAATAAATAATAAATAAGTACGGGGAGAGAGGACATCCCTATCTGAGCCCTCTAGTTGGCTTGAAAGGTTTATTAGGAGTAGCATTAACAATGATGCACATAGATGAAGAAGCTAAACAGTTACTTACAAGACTGATGACAACCTCAGAGAAACCCAGGAACCCTATATAGTGAAGAAGAAAATGCTATTCAACACGGTTGTAAGATTTGGAAAGATCAATTTTGAGAATAAAATGACCTGGGGTAGATCTTTTGTTCATTGAATGCATTATTTCTCTAGCCAGAATGATATTATCAACAATTTGTCTGTCTGGCATAAAAGCATTTTGAAAAGGAGATACCAGTTTCCCAAGAATGGGTTTCAATCTTTTTGCTAAAATTTTAGCAACAATTTTATAAGTAATGTTTGCTAGGCCTATTGGTCTGAAGTTGCTAGGCAAAGAAACATCCTCCTTTTCTGGGATTAGGACAATAGCAGTGTCATTAATTGTAGAGATGATTGTAGGATCATTGAAGCAGGATTGGATAAACTGACAGAGGTCTTCACCAACTGTATTCCAGCCATTTTGAAAGAACAAGGCATGAAGTCCATCTGGGCCCGGAGCTTTGAGGGGTGCCATACTAAAGAGAGTAGTTTTGATTTCATCACCAAAAAGAGTTTCACAAAGAGACCGGTTATACTCAGCTGAGATATAACTACTGAAGAAATTTGCAGCCACTGAATTTAGGTCCGTATGGGAAGAAGTAAACAAAGATTTGAAATAGCAACAAATAGTATCTTCGATTAATTTGGGGTCAGAAATCCAATCCTCATTGTTGTCCTTCAGTCAGTAGATACTATTCTTTCTCCTCCTCTTTGAAGCAACAATATGAAAATATCTAGAGTTCCTATCCCCGTGATTTAACCAATTACATCTTGACCTTTGCTTCCAATACATTTCTTCAATATCATACCACTTTTCTAAGTTGGCTCTCAGAGAAAGTTCTTCTGCTGATGAAATGTTTACCACGCCTCCCATTTGGATATGCTCAATGTGCTTTTTGATTTCTTGAATTTTTAAGGAAAATTGTAAGTAGGAACGAAACCAATTTCATAAAATAGACTTACAATTCAAGCACTTCTGTGGAAAGGAGACAAATTGAGTGGTCTAAATTGATGAGAGAATATCAGCATATCCATCACAAGAAGTCCAAAAAGCTTCAAATCTTTTTACATGTTTCACTCGTCTCTTGAAGCCAACTAAGTTACAAAGAATGGGATTGTGGTCACTCCCAATTGATGGCAAATGTTTTACAATGACCTTCGGATACAACTGCAGCCAAGACGGGTGGGCTAAGAGTCTGTCCAAACGCTCCTTAATGAGCAGGTGCGCTGATCTTCTATTTGTCCAGGTATAAGTAGGGCCATGGAAGGCCACGTCCAGGTATAAGGAGTTCACAATCATTTATGAAAGAATTGGACACTCTTGTCTCTATGTTACTAAAAGCCTGACCACCTGATTTTTCTTTGCTGTTTGTTATAGCGTTTAGATCTCCGATAATTGCCCATGGACTGTTAGACTGAGCATGAAAATCTCTTATTGATTGCCACAATTTTGGTCGGTCTTCTCTTTGGGGAAAGCCATAGGCACAAGCCACCTATACTTGCAATAATAAGGTTTTTATCTGAACTAACAATTTGAACATTAATATGATCCGCCTAGAACAGACACAAGCCACCAGAGAGACCAACAACATCAACGCAGTGAAAACAGTTCCAGTTTAATTGGTGCAGAATTTTCCTTATTCTAGAACTTGAAGCTTTATTTTCTGACAAAAATATGATTTCTGGTAAAGTACTAGTTAGGAGCTTTGACAGGTGACGAACTGCCCGAGGGCTCCCAATCCCCTGCCAGTACCAAGCAAGAATTTTCATGATTGATTGGGGGCAGTTTTGGGGTGCGCCGCCTCCACCCGTAAATGATAAGAGAAAGAGAGTGCTTTATCACTCTTTTCTTGTCCTCAGCCATGCTCTTCAGTTTCCTTTTGATTCCTGAAGTCAATGTGTCATTTATTTCGATTCTTTGGGCCTTTTGCAAAATCAGTTCAGAATTTATAGAACCGTCACATCTCTTCCTGTTGTTGCCTTGAGTCGAAGAGGCTACAGTGGGATCACCTGAAGAGATAGTTGAGAAAACCTTAGCATTCGACATGTCTGAATTGGCAGTTTCTGTATCAATAGGAGTAGTAGAGAACTCTTGCCCATTTTTGAGATCCATTCACCTTTTCAACTAGGTGGAGTGCTGACGTAGTGGTATCAGCAGCATCAGTCTGTGGAATATGCTTGCAAGAAGGAGTGAAGCAACTTGTCGCTGGTTCAGTTTGGATGTGAAACTGATTCGCATCAATCTCCATGTTTTCCGCCGTAGAGGACGGGGTTGACAGGTCAGAAGGTGAATTAGTAATTGGAAGTGTTTCCGCAACACGAATAATTGAAACTGACGAAGAAGGTAGTGGAGAACACTTGCCTAATTTGGTGGAATTAATACCCTGGTTTTTCGGCTTCCTTTTGGATAGTGCAATCGCTGAGTTCACATCTATCCTAGTCCCCTGTTGAATGGCCGACGGTGAAGGATCCGGTGGGCTTGTTACCGGATTTTTCTGTCCTGAATCCCTTGTTTTATCACAGTGTAGGTTGAAATTCTTTTTACTAGACGAAGGACGTTGGACTGTATTGGCCCGGATCTCCTTGGTAATTCTATCTACTAAGAGGGCCTTTAATTTTTCTTTCATGTCTTGACTCCTACTATTCTCAATTGCTTGGGGAGACGATGTTTAGTTCTGCAACTTTCAACTTCATGCCCAATTTTTGCACAAAACATGCAAATACCTAGGAAGTCTCTCATATTGAACATCCACCAAGATAGTTTTCCCGTTCAGCAGCTTAAAGGGAACTTCTTGCTTAATTGGTTCAGTCACATCAATGGATATTCTGATATGAGCATATTAGCTCCACTTTGAAACATCCTTTGGATCCGGCTCAAATGGGCTCCCAAGTTCTGATGTCAATTTTTTCACTGCATTAGAAGTTAGATAGGCTAAGGGTAAGCCTACCATGTGTACCCAGAAATCCGCTCTGTTCAGAAAGTAATCTTCAGGACGAAGGTTTGGCTCCCCTTTATGCAGAAGAATCAGATCCCCCTCGAACAACCAAGGGCCGCGATCAAAGATCCTGTCGCGTTCAAAGCAGCTTGGAAAATCAACGCGGAACAGATCATTTCTGAAATCAAGAATTTTGGAAGCATCTAGTTTCCAGAATTTTGATAGCATCTCATGTAGGCCTGCAACCTTGACTGGCCAGTCTGTAAGTACTGTGAATATCAGAGTTCTTTGGTAGTCTTTATTTTGGAGAGTGTCGTCCATGGTAGCCTCCACTGGTTTCTCTGTTCTAGGGACCAAGATAGTGGTTTCTCCTCATCCAAAGAAACTCAACAGATGTTTCTTTGTTCCTGTTCATTTTTCATAGAATCTACTTTTCTAGGAAAGTGACTTGCTTGTGTTATTTTTGTTTAATTCACCTAGATAAATGTATTGTGGGAACATTTTTGACCATTTTAATTTTTCTTTCGTTTGCCCTTTACTTGGGGAACTCAACTTACCCAAGTTTGAGAAGGGTGCCATTTATCTAGATTGATACGTGAGAAAATCAATTTTGCAATGTATTCCACACGTTTCTAAAAAAAGATGGGTAAGGTGGCCAATAGAAACCACAATACCATTGACCATTTTTTTTCCCTTCAAAATCCCCAAAATGAATGGGGCCTTATTTATTTTTAAAGAGTAGAACATATTTAATCCTAAATTATAGTGATTGAGCTCAAGGCTTGGAAGATAAGGGAAGAATTCCATCAATGTTGCAGATGCATGGGCAGTCAAAGAGGCCATCTTAGCAGTAGTAAGGATGAATAACAACAACATCACTATTGAAAGTGATGGTGCGCAATCCGGTCGATCCTAGCTACCGGTTACCTCGTCTCTGACGGAATCGGAGGTGCCTGAAATAAGGAAGAACTTGGAGACTTCCGGGGAGGAACCCGGTTGGAACACTCCGAAGCTCAAGTTAGTGCTCTTAAGAAGGCAAGGCAAATGAAGAACTTCCAGACCAGAAAGTGCAAGAATCACATACCTCCTTCTTTGAGAGATGGGGGACTTTTATAATCACCCTGTACACTTACTTCCATACCTCTGCCAGTTCGGGTATCATTACCTCCGCCAGATCGGGTGTCGTTTCCTCTGCCAGATCGGGTGTCATAATCTCCATTGCCAGTTGCCAGTTGCCAGTCCGGGTGTCATAACCTCCACTGCCAGTTGCCAGTTGCCAGTTAGGGTGTCATAACCTCCACTGTTCCTTGTAAGGGCCATCTCTGCCACGTCTAAGATGGCGGTGGCAGGTGGCCATTGGAGGGCGGCTGTCATGTGTCGGACCCCTAATCAGTCAGGTGCTCCGCCTCCGTGTATGGTTGTTTCAGTCAGGTACGGTTGTTTCAGTCAGGCGACTTGGAGCCGAAGTGGTGTGCGAGGTGAAGTCTTGAGTTCGGATAGAAGTATGGTCCGAACTGCCCCTGGGTGGGCAGTTTGAAGGGAGAGTTCGAACTGCCCCTGCTCCTTGTAAGGCTCGGGACCTCAAAGGGAGAGCTTGGGTTGTGGGTTCCTTTTTTGGGGGAGCTCGGGACTCTTTAGCTCGGGGCCTGGGCTGTAGGTTCCTTTGGGGGAGCTCGAGACTCTTTTTCTCGGAGCTCGAGTTGTGGGCCCGCTGCCATGCCGAGCTAGCGCTTCTGCCAGGTCACTCTTGGTTGCTTTCACGTGTCGCATGGTCAAGGGGTCGGGTCAAATCTCCCTCCATCAATTGCCCCCCACTCCCCATGCTCGGGGTCCTGACCCGGCGTGGGGAGTTCAAGGGATGACGGGTGGATTTTCCTTGGGACACTTTGGCCTTGGTTTGGAACTTCTCCGGTTTGACCTGCTTGTGTTCTTGGCTCAACCAGGGTCGGCTTGGTTCGACCAGGGGTCAATCCCGGGCTGCATGTAATTCACGCGCGTAAACAATTTCAAATTTTTGAACGTAAAAAATGCGCGCCAAATTGACTTTTCCTCGGGGGGTGCGCAGCCGGTTTCGCGGGGAGCCGTTGGATGGTTTCGACCTTGGCGTTCATGCGCGAGTACAGTGGCTATAAATAGTGGTGGGCCCCTGGTCACTTTCCTTCGCCATCCTTCAACATTCGTTTCTTGAGCTCACGTCCAAGGCTGTCAGCTCGCGTCACTTTTTCATAGTCCGGTAGCTTTTCCTGGTGAGTCCTCAGCCTTCTCTTTGTTTCGATTTCTAGCTCGAGTAGTTCAGAAAGTCCTCTGGGGGGGTCAGATGCTGGTTCTATGAACCGAGCTGCTGCCCCTAACAGCTTTAGTGAGTCTGAGGCGGGGCCCGAGGTAGAGCTCGAGGAAGAGCTCGAGAGCCCATAGGTCGAGTCACTTCGGGTAGCTTGGCATCCACCTCCCGCCGAGGTCGGGTGCCCGATAATTTCGGGCCTTCCACTATGACGCCCGAGAGGCTTTGGTCCCTTATCGCTCAATACAACATGCCCGGGGAATATACTTATATTTTACCCTCGGGTGACTTTCCTTGGGAGCACGGTCCGGACGAGATCGTGATATTCCAGGAGCAGCTTGTTGCCGGATTGCGCCTTCCCTTCCATCCCCTTATCGTCTAGGTCATGAACCACTTCGGCATCACTGTAGGTCAGCTTCACCCGAATTCCATCCGTAACCTTGTCGGGACCATCTCCCTGTGCTGTGAACACTGCCTTCCCTTGGACTTGGAAGTTTTTTCTACTATTCTCATGCTTAAGAAACAAGCGGGTCCCTTGCCCGGGCGCACTACTTGTCACCTCGCCCGAGCTTCAAGCTCTTACACGATCTTCCAAATAAGGTCCCGGCATGGAAGCGGGACTACTTCGTGGTTCAAAGTGCTACGGGGTGGCCGTTTTCCTACTGAGTGGGGGTTGGCCGTTCCTGACCCTGGTGTTGCTTTAGACGAAGATACGGTGAAGGGCCTCCAGGACTGGGCCGGGCTTGGGCTAAAATGCGAAGTCTACCTGACGGAGGACAAGCTTATTCAGGCCGATCTGAGTTCGGGTAGGTTTCTTGCTCAGATAAAGACACTTTTGCTTGTTTTTTATTCTCGTCTTTTTATGCCGAGCTCCTTTTTGCAGGTGTTATGGCGTCAGAGAAGACTCGAGGTGCGAGTCTGTTCAATGGTATGAAAAGGAGGAAGCGAGCTGCTAAGCGGGTCCACGCCGATCCTTCCCGGGCTGCAGAGCCCGAGGCACCAAGAATGGAGCCTCTTGGGGAGCCCGAGGTGGCCCCTCCAGTTCAGGAAGCGGCAGGGGCCCCCTATGCCGACACTGCTTATACCCGGGCTGTGCCTTTAGGCTCAAGAAGTCACGATGAGGTTGGGAGCGTGCTGACGCCGAGCTACGCTCTCCGAAAAAGCAAGAAGGCCATTTGCCCTGAGGAGGTCGCGTAGTGGGCCGATCTTCCTACAAATCTCATAGGCGCTCGGGCTGCCTCTCACGCCATGGTGGTAAGTCAGAGTAGTGTTTTTTTTTTACCGAGCTGATTTGTCCTCGTTCTGGCAGGTGAACTCCTCTATCCACGCTTTGGCAATCTAGGCGGAGAGGGGCTTGAAGCGAGCACAAGCTGCCGAAGCGACCTCCCGTGCTGCGTGGGCCGAGCTATCGAGGTCTCAGAGGGACAAAGAGACCTCTGGAATGGTGGTGAGACATATGGCGGACCTGAAGTTGGACCTGGAGCATCAGCTCGAGTACCTTCAAGATGATATTAGGGAGAAGACTCAGATCTTTTCTCAGGCTGTCGAGGAGGCGAAGGTGAAAGTCGTCGAGAATTACATCGCTTCTTTGCGCTTTGACGATATGATGGTGGGCTCGTACAGAAGGGGTTTCAAGTTGAGCCGATGGATGATAAGGAACATGTACCCCGAGCTCGACATTAGTGCCATAACCACTTCGCACATCACTCAGGAGATGGTTGCCGCAGCTGATGATGATGTGGATTCCGAAGACGAAGCGGGACCTTTGGGTATTATTGAAGTCCCTTCTGAAGGCGAGGAAGATGTACCTCCGCGCTTGTGAGCTCGTTTGTGCTTTTGTTTTCTGTTTTTTTTTTTTTTGGATGAAGTGTAAACAAGTTCGTTTTGCAATGAATACTTCCCCTTTTTTGGCAAAGTGTTGTGTAGTTATTCTTTTTTCGTCAAGCTGACTAAGTTGCTGAACTGCTAGACTTAGGCCCCGAGGCGAGTTAACATAGTAAGGCTATGTGCCCGATCTGTTCTCCGCCCGGGTTAGTTAACATAGGCTGAATTGGGCCCTAGGCTATGCACCTCGGGATCTATACTTGTGCAGATTGCTTTCGTTGATGAGGTGTCGAGGTCCTCTTTAGCTTGGTATTCTGGCCCTTATGGTGCCGAGGTCCTTGTTAGCTCGACATTTTGGGCCTTAGGGTGCCGAAGTCTTTGTTAGCTTGGCATTCTGGCCCTTAGGGTCTGGTAGTGGCTCATGACCTGCTTAGTTTGATCATTTATAGGTAAAATCGTCTTAAGTTGACGATGTTCCATGCCCGGGGTATCTGTTTACCCTTCAGGGTTTCGAGCTCATATGCTCCCCCGAGTACTCTCTTTACTCGGTAGGGTCCTTCCCAGTTCGGCCTAAGTTTGCCAATGCCGGGCTCAGGTATCATGACCTTGCGGAGAACCAGGTCGCCGACGTGAAAGTTTCATTTCTTAACTCTGGCGTTGTAGTACCGAGCTACCTTTTGCTGGTACGCCGCGGTCCTGATGTACGCGAGGTCCCTCACCTCGTCAAGTAGGTCGAGGTTGGTATGTAGCTCATCATTATTAGTATTGTCGTTGTATGCTTCCAACTGAAGTGAGGGGATTTCGATTTCAGCTGGGATGACTGCCTCCGTGCCATAGGTGAGGTTGAAGGGAGTTTCTCCGGTGGCGGTCTTTTCTATAGTTCGGTATGCCCATTGGACGTTGGGCAGCTCGTCTGCCCATAACCCCTTAGCTCGGTCTAGCCTAACTTTCAGTCCGTGGAGGATAGCTCCATTCGTGACTTCTGCTTGACCGTTTGCTTGTGGGTGCGCAACCGACGTGAAGTTTTGTCGGATCCCCATGTCTTGGCACCACTCTTGGAATTTGATGTCCTCAAACTGCTTGCCATTGTCAGAGATCAGCACTCGAGGTAGCCCGAAGCGTCACACTATGTTCTTCCAGAAGAAGTTCTGGATGTTTCGAGCTGTGATGGCTACGAGAGTTTCAGCTTCAACCCACTTGGTGAAGTAGTCTACTGCCACTACTAGGAACTTCCTTCCTCCTGTTGCTGGCGGGAAAGACCCAAGTAGGTCGATACCCCATYGTGCRAAGGGCCATGGGCTGGTGAGGCACTTGAGGTCGGCGGCGGGMTGGTGGTGAATATTGGCATGCTTTTGGCACTTCTCGCACTTCCTGACTAGCCCGAC